CACGAATATGAATTTTGACTGACAGTGGCTTGCTGATGCTAGTGGGAATGTCGGTCCCATATTCCAGAGCTGCAGTAGTCACAGGACTGGCCCTTTGGTCATCCCGGAGCAGCAGCTCCTTCACCTGGGTGCACTGGCCTGCCATGGACTGGAGGTGCTGCTGCTCCGGGATGACCAAAGGGCCAGTCCTGTGACTACCGCAGCTCAGGAATATGGGACCGACTTTCCCACCAACGTCAGCAAGCCACCCCGGGGCGGATTTCCCTCCCCCCAAAATCTTACCTTCCAGTTCCAGCTCGCGTGGCTCTACTCAAGGTAAGGTTTGCACTCGGTCGAAGGGCGGGGGCCAGCGGGTGGGCAGGCCACTTGGGGGGTACAGCCTTGTGTTCCCGCACAGCCTGGATTAATTGCTTTGGGGGGGAGTGCTTTGGGGGGACATTTCTCTGCGGGCTACCAAAATTTTCACACAGACCACCAGTGGTCCCCGGCCCACTGGTTGGCGACCACTGCTCTAAATAGTACTGAATCTGAACTACCTGCAGTTTTCACTCCTCACTATGCTTGCTGAGCTGTTAGGAGTTTTTCACCATATTCCTTGTGAATTGCCCAGAAAAACCAAAGAATGACAAAATCTCTATATTGCCTAGAATTATCTTAAACCTGGAATATTTTTCACATGCTTCTTATAGTCAACATATATACAGTGGCATTTCATTAGATCCTAGACATGTGTATATAGTATGGAGCCTGGATTGACTGCATTTTCTCCAGGATAAGCTTGACTGAGGCTTTAAGTCTGGGGTCTTCAAACTTGGCAAGTTTAAGACTCAATTCAACTCCCAGAATTCCTCCTCCAGTCATGTTAGTTCAGGAATTCTGGGAGTTGAAGTCCACAAGTCTTAAACTTGTCAAGTTTGAAGACCCTTGATTTAAGTAAACACATAAGTTCAGTTATTGTATTAAGCAGCTTGGATGGTCAGCTGTTGGATGGGCATCCCTGACTATAAATTATATGAATCATGAATTCATTGAGGCAGAAGGGAAAGCAAGTCAAAGTCCACTTTAGAGGTGAGACAGGATGGAAGGGAGAACACTAAATTGAACATTCCTGTTTTAGGGCTTGTGGCAGTAGTAGAAATATTTTCCAAAGTCAGAAGCCTGACTTTGAAGGAATTTGTTTGCTGCCACATGTTGATTATTAAAATAAGTACAGATAGCTAGTGATGTCAGTGGCCACTGGAATTTTTATATTTCTACTGTGTGCCTGGCCTTGCAGTACAGAGTCCATACACTGTCTTACAATAAGCCTTATTCATTTGGATTGAAGATGCCTAATAATGAGTCAGGGTGATGCTGCATTGTCTGCTTTGAAGGATAGTAGCTTTCAAGAGTTTCAGGCAGATTCTCCTCTCCCACCCTGCTTTCCCTTCAGTTTCATTCTGGTTAGAGAAAATCAAACCCAGGTCCTTTATGTGTGTATGTATATGTGTTTTATGTTTATCCTTGCTGTACAAGTACAGGTACCCATGTAATTAAATGAGAGAAATGGAAAAAATGGAAAAAATGTTTTAAATGTACGGTCGCTACAAATCCTTATGAAACCCTATACCCGGGGTATCAAACTCGCCACGTCACGTTGCTGTCATGTGAGGTATTGTGACAGTTTTCCCCTTTGCAGAGTTTGGGTGGGCATGGCTTATGTGTGCTTCATCTGGCCCATGGGCCGCCAGTTTGACATCCCTGCCCTAGACTGTTAACTGCTGGGATTCTCATACCATGAAGGAAATCTATCTCATAGGTGGTGTATGTGAATTGGTCTCAAGTTCAGTCCTCAACATTTTCACGTCTCAATGCCAGCATAAAAATTGTGGAGAACAATAGATGGATCAGTCATTTTAATATAAGGCAGGTTTATATACTTTGTGCAGTATGGTATATATTTGGAGGATAATTCACTCTAAGCAGCTCCATCTCACTCTGATAAATAGGACTGCAGGAAAGCTATGGTAAAATGCCAAGGCCTTCAACAGTGATAGCTCAAAACAAGAAGAAAGATTTCCAAAAATTTCTTTGAATCCAATCAATTCATAGGCTTAATTATTAACTGTCATATTTAGAGATACTCTTACAGGGAGCCAGAGCCAGGCCTGTATAGGTAAATAATAAAAAAAGAGGCAATCATGAATTACAACCGTGGGCTTCTCTCACCATTCACTTAAACTGCTGCTTCTCATTTCAATCCTCATTTCTAAGACCCTCCAAGTTTTGTAACTAGAGATTTAAGAAAGAAATTATTCAGAGAAAATTGGTGGTGAAAAGAGTTGGACCATATCCATGACCAGGTTTCTCTACAAGGACATAGAAGTCAAGTGCCTGCCAAGAAATGCTCTATTCCCTGCATCTGCTTAGAATGCGCTATATGATGAGGCCTTTCAAAAACCCACTTTGAGTTCAAGGATAAAAAACCTTTCCAACGGCACTTGGCAGTAGCTTCAATACATAATTTAATCCCTGCTCTCATGCAGTAGCACATTTGATAGCTCCCAAAGGGGCAAGAAACCTAGGAGTGCTGGTTACTTTCTTTCTGCTGCCTTTATATGTTAGTTTAGCACTCTTTGGGGAAACTATTCTTATGGAACAGGTAGAGTAGGCTGTCTCTGAAGCTTCCAAGTAGTTTATCTTAAAGAAGTGAGATTTAATGGCTTGGATGAGCTGTGAAATGGCTAGTTAGTTTGGGAGTAGGGCAACATAATAGCTCTGTAGAATCATTGCAGAGCCCATTTCAGTGTCCTGTTTGGTTTCTCATAGTAGCCACAAAATTCTTATACTCTAGGGTGTTTACAAGCAGGATATGTTTCCTCTGTTGCCTGCTGATCACATTGAGTCCTTGATATGCCTATTATCCAAGAACCTCTCCAATTTCCTTTTAAAGCCATAAAAAGGTTAGTGACTATCACCCCATTTTGGGATCACTGCATGTCTATTGTCACAGGAAAAATAGCAAAGAGTTGAAAATCAAAATTCATTCTTTTCAGCATCAAAGAATGATGACAGAGACTGCCTGACAAATTGAAAATTGGTGTTTTTTTGATGTCCCATAGCATTCAGCACCAGTCATAGAGATTTCATTGAGCTGGTAGTTACTGATGGATCTTTTCCTCCTGGCTGTGATTAATTTCTTTTAAAAGATAAGGAAAGCGAAAATCTTCACCTTAGTTTTTAATTTGGGGGGTGAATTCTTTTTAATAGGATCTGGTTTTACATAATTACCTTCATTCTTTGAGGCTACAAGTAGATCCAAACAATGGAGCACTTTAACATAATTAGCTGGCAATAAAGCAAATGCTCTATATCCGGAAAGTGTTAGGTTTAAACTTTGGTATATCTAGTTTTTTTGAAAGCGACATAGGAGAGCTGTAATCAGCCAAATTTGATATTTCTGGGCTATATGAATATATATATATATTTATATATTTTCTCATTTGGAGTAGGCTTCAGATATCCTTTCCCCCCTTCTGCTATAGAAGTACTTTAGTGGTTTCTATTTTTCTTCTGCCTTTGAGCAACAGCTGTGGATTACATTTCACCAATTTTTTTTTATTAATTCTCCTCATTCTCCCCCCACTCTCACTTTCACCTTTCTCCCAAACCCCCTCCTATTTGTATCTTCCATAAAACACAAACAGCTGAAAGACAGAAGTATATTTTATTCCAAAGCTAAACTAAGCAATATTAGAGCAGTGAAACAGATTTTTCAAGTAATTTTGTTCTCCTGCCATATGCCAAGAATGAGGCTGAATATGTGCCTTGTAAATTTTGGACACAAGCATTTGATGCTGAAAATAAAAAGGGCAATGCAGCTGTTTTGAACCATTGTCAGCAGCTCAAAAGCTTAGCCAGAGTTTTTAATAATGATTTTTATTGTCCAGATCTGTACTCAATAGAAGCTCTTCCCCACTTCTGTGCTTTTTGGGGGAAGGAAGAGTTTTAAGCAAGAATAATAGTACAACATTGTTTTGGGAATAAAAAAGGTAAGAGAAAGAAACAAGGAAAGTACTGGGAATGATAGTGAAATGGAGGAGAAATAAGTTTTGTTAATTATATTTGGCTTAAAAAGCTTGAAATGAAAAGCTTTATGAAGGAGAGTGAATTATTTTTGTCCTTGAGAATCAATGTGACTTAAAACAAGGTGGATATTGCTCTTTATTTTTCTATTTGGATTGGGAGTAATTTTGGCCTTCACCTTGAAGCTATCTTGCAGCCAAACTGAAGAACGCATGCTGGAAGAAAAGCCAAGTACTGAGTGGTTGAAATGTACACTTAGGAATCTGTGTGTAAAAAGCTGGTGCCAAACCCACCAATTTTCACCTTCGCTGGGTATAAACTGTCACTAGAGCAAACAGCAAAGACTCCTTGAAATAAACATGTTGTGTAATGGAGCAATATACAAATTTTGTTCTATTTTTTTTCCTGTTTGGATCTCTTCCTGTTTTGTGTACATTGTGGTTATTTCTCTGATAATTGCCTCTCCTGCTCTTTTAGAACAGCCTCTCTCTTTCAGTAATCCATCTCCCTATATTTTCCTTTTTAAGTCATTCAAAATGATATCAGCTTCCAGTGGCCTTTTCTTTATCTTCCACAATCTTTTGTCACCTTTGATCTCCTTTTGTGGTTCCATTGCTTATCTGCAAGAATGCACTTATTTTTAGTCTAAATACAGTCTGCTACTTTCTCTAGATCTCTTTCGTTAACTCTTATTCCACATACTATCCAGTATATTGCAGGAGATCCATAGTTCAAAAAGACTGTGCCATTGGCCAATTCACCTATCTTGGATTGAGTACACTGCAGTTGGCAAAGCCATGAATTACAAGGCATTTTTATGCTGGGGTTCCATCAAGCTAATATTGAGGGTCTGTAGCAAGACAAACCATTTTCTTGTTATCGGGCAGCAAAATATCTTAAAAATAAACCACATTTTTCACTTTGTCTCTGTTTAGGCCATGGAAGACTGACATCTGTTTTGGCTTACTAGAAGACTTTTTTGTCATTTAATTGTATCACAGGGAATTCTTCAACTGTGAAAGTCTTTTCATAAAGTAAAGTCTTAAAACATTTGCAGCTCAGGGTTAAATTGTGGGGGTTTTAGTGCTGTCTAAGCTTTGTGGTTTTTCCTGCAAATGTTTCATTACCAAACTAGGTAACATCAATATTAGAAGGAAGTGAGGTCTGATCTTTATTTGTATATACTCGCGGCTTGCCCTGTCAAGTCTTGGTGAAAGTGTATCACAAGGAGTATCTGGCAATCAAGAAGCTTTTGTATCGATTGTGAGGTTAGTGTCCATGTTTCACTACCATATGTTAGAGAAAGTAGCACATCACTGATTGAATCTCTTTAGGCATATAAGGGGAGGTTGCTCTTGGCCTGCCAACCACATTTAACATGCCATTCAATTTCATTTATTGTATCCCCTTCCATTGAGATCCGTTGGTCTACTATGTTTAGTTCTTCTCCAGATATATTTTTTTTCTTTCTTTGGTGAATTTATTAAACATAAACCTGGTTCTTTTTCAGGTTTATTTTTATCCGAATGTTACTCCCGCTTTGTGCAGCTCTTGTATGTGTGTTGGTAGCTCTTCTGGGTCTTGAGAGAACAACATCATCTGCAAATCTTAAGTGTATAAATTTAAATAAATAGTCCCACCTCTGGCATGAAAACTGGCTGGGTGATTTTTGGTCCTGTTACTTTCTCTCAGTCCAATCCACCTCACAGGGTTGTTGTTGTGAGGAAAAGAGGAGGAGGAGGAAGTATTGGGTATGTTTGCTGCCTTGAATTATTCATCAAAATAATGAAGGTGAATAAAAAATTTAAAAAGAAGCATCAATAAGAAAGCTTCCTTGACAGTGTTTCTCGGGTCATCAAGGTTCACTTCATTGTGAGGTCAGCATTGTCTGTTGAAGCCATACTTAACTCATCATGGTTGGGCACAACTGCAGAGGTCACAGCAAGCTTTGTTAATACAATATTTCACCTTCAGGGAAAGATTTTGCAAAATACGTGACGATATTAGCAAAGTGAGGTGGTTTTAAACTCTACTTTTACTGGCCTTCATAATTGGAGTCTATTGATTTTGTTTTTCCCCCCATCTGTGTTTCCCAGTATGCTGCAATTGTTCAGGTGACTGCTCATTTGGAACAACTAAATTGCCTGTTGCAAGAACATTATGTGATTTAGATTGTTGTCCTGCGCAGCTTGTATAAAGTTGTTAACCCACGTTACTTCTCAGACACTGGAATATTGTATTATGTGAGCATCACTGCCCTCTGCTGGGTGTAAGTTGCTTTGTGATTGATCATACCTATGAGAGTTCTCTTTTGCCAAGGGCTTGGATATAGCTACCATCTTTGTAAATGCATTGTGCTAAAGCAGAATTCAGCAAGCTTTTAGCATTCAGATTTACATAAATAAAGGTCAATGTTACTAGTAATCATCTGTCACTACCGAAAATTATATCAAGTAATCCTTCTATTTCCTTGGTGTGATTCTATTTCCTTTCTTAGCATATGATAGTACCTGGAATTAATAATGGGTGAAGAATAACTGATTAAAACTCAGGCTACACAGAAAAGAGATGGCTGTTGTTGAATGATTTATCAGTCAACTGAAGTGGCATTTAATATTTCCTAGAGGCAGGGCAGGCAGAAAGTAATATGTCCCTGGATTCCCATTCCAGGAGGACCCACTGCTGACTACAAAAGAAGAGAAGGTGTCATTGCTTTTGGATGCCACACAAGCTCATCCTTTGGAGAACCAAGCCTGTGCCTGATGGATTTTACATTTTACTTAGCAGTCCATTGCAGCCTGTGACAGTGAAAGCAACTTTTCTCATTCATCTAGACCAGCCTCTGATAGGGCCATTTAACAATCTAATCATTGCTGTTTCAGATTATTGCCAATAATCCAGTCAGGTAGCAAGTATAGCTCAACGCTCATTATTGCTGTTTTGCCTGCGTGGACAGACGTGGTTTGGTGATTGGTAGAACATCTGCTGCTGCTCCTTGCTCTGCTGTGCAGGCACTGGTTAATAGTTTCCTTCACGAACTACAGATGAAAGTGGAGTGGTTGCTGCTGCTTTGTATTATCCAGCCAATGAGACAAGAAAGAAGCTAGGAACAGTGACTGTTTACGAAACCAAGAGGAGCAACAATAGAAGGGATTCTCTTTTCACTCTTCAAGGCTTGCCAATCATTCAACTGCACAATGGGCAATCTAGCAAGCAATCTGACAGATTAACGAAAAGCAATAGCTGCTTGGGAAACTAAGAGAAGTAAGAGTGAACTGTTAGATAGATAAAAAGGAGTGGGAGGAACAGCTTCAGCCTATAAAAAGGAAACCAAGCAGTTAGAAGTCACTTGCTTATGTAACCAAGGCCATATATACCACAGGTGTCAAACTTGCAGCATCACATTGCTGTCACGTGATGTGTCGCAATGTTTTTTCCCTTCACGGAGCTGGGGTGGGTGTGGCCTGCGTGTGATGTATTTGGCACATGGCTGCAAGTTTGACACCCCTGATATATACAGTAGAACTTGCAATGAATGAGGATAAGCTGCAACAATTATGCCGTTCCATTCACTCTTAGATAAGGCAAAGTGGTGTGGAGACAACATTTGGTTGTGATGGTCCTTTAAGATGTTTGTTTAGGTTCATTCCAAAATCTAGATCTGGTCCAGACATTTAGCAAAGCCAGATATTTCCCCATCCCATGCGCATTCGATTTTTGTTTAATAAATTAAGAAGTTTTCATTGGTCTTTTGGCACTTTTAGTCTATTTCACCATTCTGTCAAGAACAGTTTGGATTTTCATTTCTGATCTTTTGAAATACTAGCTGTCTTACTGTGTGAAAATTTGATGAGCATTCTATCAACTCTTCATTCACATTATTAATGAACATATTGAAGACTTGAGGGCTGAAGTGTGTTGTTTTTCTCTACAGTTTGATAAGGATTCATTGATGAGCACTCAATGAATGCAATTATTGTCAACTATATATCAATGTTTTTGTCACATCATTTAGTTCTTTATAAACTAGTTTCCTAATCAATTTCTCATGGCTAAATGCTTTGTTGATGCTACTGTGTATTATTATTTGTACAATATTCCCATGGTATGTTAAGGAAGTTACTCTTTAAAAAAAAGAGGAAGGATGACTGAAAGATCTGCTTCTGACTAATTTATTCTGTCTCTTGATAATTACCACAAATTTGAATAATAAGCAAAAGAAACTAAATGTATTAAATAAATGGAGATATACCTAAATCTGAATTATAATAACAGCATTCATTGTAATTTTCTATCATTGCAAACCATCACAGCTTCCTAAGATCTAATCAGCTCCTCAAATCCCAATAGCTATACTGCCCTGGTCACAACAAAGTGTTCAGATTTTTATTCAACCTTCCTCAAACAGGTTCAGTTGCAAATCAAACAGTGAGTTCAGCACAAACTTGACAAGACTTAGTCTAACATGTAGTTCTAAGGCCAGTCCAAGGTCCAAACATGGGGTCACAGGGCAAGATGCAAGAAACAGCAAAAGAGTTAAGAAATGGGACACATCGTTCCAGCAATGTCCATTCCAATTAACCCTCTGATTAATTATACTCAAAAACTTACTGGAGGCCAATGCAGTACATGGTTATAATGGGCCACTGCAATTTGTATCAACTGCAGTTCATTGCAGCACCTTATAAAGCATACCACAGTATTTATCCTGAAGGTGTTAGTGGCATGACTTACTGTTGCCAAAATATTATAGAAGGCAAAGAGAGTATTCTGCTCACAAAGGCTAAAATATTTAGGGATAGAACATACCTCTTGTTAGAAGGGGATCTCTCCTATTGGATTGAGGGCTAAAATTGAAGTATGGTTTCTATTTGCTTCTAAAGTACAGGCTAGCTAAGCCATTGGTATGTTAACCATTTAAATTTGTGTTGTCAATCTACTTCTAATTAGCCCTGAGAAAGAATTCATCCCCAAACCTTCCAACCAAGACAGTTAGACATACTCAATTCATATCTTTTGTGCCTGGGCTTTGACACATAAGTGAAAAGCATTCCCCCTATCCCTTACTCTTCAAGAGGTGGGATATTTGTTCTTTTTGGGGAGATTGGAGGGAGATATCTGGAGGAAGAGAAATTAACAACAATTGGGATTGTATGAAGAGAAGCAAAAACTGAGACCATTCTCCTTCCGATTCAGTTTAAAGGCTGGAACTTCCAGAGAAGTTTTTTTTAAAAAGTCTGACTAAAGGGAAATCAGAAACTGTGTGTTTGTGTGAGGGATTGCATTTGTGTGTGCACTTTCTTATTAATAAAGTTAACTTTTATCTATATGTCAGGGTTCCGACAGATGCCCTAATTAAATCGGGAGTCTCAAGCCAAGCTTCAAAAGAAATCCAGTTATTTATTAGGAGCTTCATACTGGCACGGATCAAGTGGGACCAACTCTGACCTCAGTTAATTCTAACTTTGCCTCTGACCCCCTAACCCAGGATGAAAAAGTTCTATTTCTGTATTTAGAGAAGATGCCATGTAAGGCACTCTCTAGAACGGGTCGCCAACCTTTTGGACCTCAAGGACCACTAACCGGTTCTGTGGGTGTGGCCTAATTTGTGGATGTGGTTTGGTGGTCATGTGACTGGCTGGGCATGGCTTGTATGTAAATATTATAAATATTTATATAAATATTGAATTTTTTGTAAAAAAGAGAGCAACTTTTACCCAAAATCAGGCAAAGCAGGCAGGCAGATTGAGTTGCTCACAGAATCACAGATTCATTCAGAAATCTATCTATCTGCCATTGGCTAGCTCAGTCTGTCACATAAAATTTGCTTGCAAGCAAACTCACAAAATTAACTCACAACACATCATGTATGTAAATATTGAATTTTTTTTTATAAAAAAAGCAATTTTTACCCCAAATCAGGAAAAGCAGGCAGATTGAGTTGCTCACAGAATCGTTCAGTGATCTATCTATCTGCCATCGGCTAGCTCAGTCTCTCAAATTTGCTTGCCATGAGTCTGCACTGAATTTGCTT